GGGCTGGGGTGGGAGGTGGAGGCCCGGCCCAGCCCAGAGGCAGCACATGGCTGGGGCCGGGCCTGCCAGCAATGCCTAAATGGGGCCCCGGCCTCATCCTGGTGGTGCTGTCTGCCCCAACCCAGCAGTGGAAGTGAAGGTGCCAGCCAGGACTGGGCCCACCAGCAGCACCGAAATGGACCCAGGCCCCAACCTTATCCTGGCACTGCAGACGGCCCTGGCCCTGGCCCAGCATACGGCTGGGTACCGCCAGCAGCACCAGGATGGGACTCCAGCCCCGGCCTCATCCTGGTGCTGCCGATCGCCCCAGCCCAGCAGTGCCAGCATGGGGCTGGGCCTGGGCCCGCTGGTGGCAGTGGCACTGGCCAGGCCCACCAGCAGCACGTGGCAAAGCCTGCTAGCAGCACCAGGATGGGGCCGGGGCCTGCGCAGGCCCACAGGCCTGGGCCCGAGCCTCATCCCAGCGCTGCCGATGGCCCTGGCCCAGTGGCGGGGGGGGGGCCAGGGCCACCAGCAGCACATGGCCGGGGCTGTCTGTAGTGCCGAGACGGGTCCAGGGCCCATGCAGGTCTGTGACCCTGGCCCCATCCCAATGCTGCTGACGGCCCTGGCCCAGGGCCCGCAGCAGCAATGGTGCCAGCTGGGGCTGGGCCTGCTGGCAACACGTGGCCGGGCCTGGGGCCCGCAGAAGCAGTGCTGCCACCTGGGGCCTGCCGGTGGCATGTGGCCAGCAGCACGGGGTTGGGACCAGGGGCTCTTACCTGGCCAATAAAAACCATGCCACGTGCCACATTGGGCATGCGTGCCATAGGTTGCCAACCCCTGGTGTATAAGAGCCATCATCACCAAAAACAATTTCAATCACAGAAATTGAAATTCTTAGTAATATGAAGTCTAACGTGGCCTTTATCAAAACTATGTTACCTTCAAGGAATAAACACTTTATATGCAAGAAACTGCAGTCTTACCATGTCCCAAATGAATACTGAGAACTACATTCATGACTTCATTTGCTGATGGATCCACAGATAGGTCTATTGATGAACAAGTATCTGCATATATCAGAGCTGTTACATTTTTTACACTATGCACTTGAAACTGGAAACAGCTGATCATGACATAATTCCTAAAGGTGCTTAATTAGCGTGAGCATCAATACAGAAGAGCTCAAGTTGACCTGAAGTTATCTGCTGCAGCACTAAATGAAGGCTACTCAAATCTTATGCAAACCGTATTTAGACAAGATATTTATTTTGTTGTTGTGTGGGACATCTGAAGTACCAGCAGGCAAGACTCATCCAGAGATTAAATGCCTCCCTATACTCTATGTATGCCAAGTGATCACCAAAATCAGCTTACAAATTTGTCACAACTGTAGATGTTTAAAACACTTAGCTTTCTTCTGTTCCAACATTATTTCTGTATTCTTTGGTTTTTCTTCCTTCTCTTTGAATTGAGTATCCCAAGTAGCTTATCCCAGAAATTTCATTTGCTACTTTCAGTTCAATTAATTCAGAGGTGAATTTAAAGTGTGTTTGCTTCTTTGAGGCTAGAATGTGTAGATAGTTGTTTTGGGTTTTTTGCTAGAACATTACAGCAGACTGCAGGCGATTCATTTAATTAGTCCCCTGAGTATTTATATTCTTTTGGGACTCTGCCAGGACTACTCTCTTTATGCCGAACTTTGAGGTACCTGGTCAAAAGCAGAATTCACAAACCTGAGTGATGTATCTAAATTAGTAACAGAGTAAGTGGGAAAGACTGGGGCCTAGGATTGGGATTCACAACTGCCACATTTTGAGTAAAACTATGCCTAAAACCATCCAATGAGAAATGCTGAAGAAAGGGATTTATCAAGTTCTCTTTCCCCCTTAAACCTAGGCATCAAACAGGTTGCAGATAATGAGATTTGCATTCTGAAAACCCCTCTTGATTAGATATTTAGGTATCAAAGTCCTCTCTTTACATATAGCTAGTTAACTGTCTTTGCAAAGACAGGAGTAGGAGAAGGAGGTGGAATCAGCCATGATGCACAGCCTTTATCCATGGTCCTAATGGTTATTACCCCTGACCAGAAGATAGGAAACCTGGAATCTATGCTCTTGTCAAACACCTACACCTCTAATCACCAGACTAAAGGCTAGGCTGGGATGGGAGAAGGTGCCCAAGAATCCTAGGCTGTTAGGCATGAGCAAGAGAAGGAGGGTTAGATTGCAGTCCGGGACTTGGGTAATTGAATATATTTTTCTTGGATCTAACTCTTCCAAAAACATTAGATCTCTAAGCTTACTTTGAAGTTTTAAGTTACCCCTCCAATTTTATAGCATCATCGTCTTCTCCTAATACGTGGAAATTATTTCTAGCCATCTTCACTTCTAGATTTGAATAAAGTGATGTGCAGAGGGGCAAATTCCCCTGAGACTATATTGTGAGCTGTCTCTGTTTTGGATAACTTTACTCTAAGTTCTTTGGAGAAAGCAGGGCTCCTAAAATGTTAAGGTTTTTAAATGAGACTTGGCCTGGAATGGGTTTAAGGTGTCATGTTTGAGAATTATGTTTAAAACATGATCCAAAGCAGTTTGGAATCTTTGCCTGTGCAGACAGCTTAACACAGAAAGGTCCAATATTATAAATGGCCATCCCACAGTTAAAGCACACAACTTGCAGCTCTCTTAGATGCCATTTTTGAATGCTGCTTCCAACTACGTACATTATTTCTTCTTATTCCTTCAAAATCATCACTTTCCTCAACATGTCCATATTTTTAAACAACTCCTGATTTGCCTTCTAAAGGCAAACAATTCCTAGCGGACAAAAATGTATATTCCTAGTCAGTCTTTTAAAAATATATATAAAAAGGGAGAAAAAACATTAAGCTAGTATGGTCAAATCCTTTCTCCCTTCCTGTATGAAAGAAAAAAGGGGCTCAGGAGTTTTTCCTGAAGCTGTACTTGGCAGCCTTTTTCATTAGAAGGGACCTGACAAACTCGTAGTGCTCAACAAGAGACCTAAACACCTGAAAAGGCCATAACCAAATATGCTTCTTCAAGGCAAAATTCATTCCTCATAGCCACCCAAGGAGGGAAAGTTGTGCAAGCATGTAAATCAATTTTAGAATCCATCTTATCCACCCTGAATAAGAATTTATGTACTCCCTAGACAAGCTCCCTTAGCCAACCACACCACTAATACATGCTACAATAAAACTATATAAGAACAGAGGGAAAAAATAAGACAATTTGTAGGAAGAGAGAGAAAGGAGATTTGTTAGGGGGGCACTGATAAAGATTTTCTTGACTGATATCAATGGCTGATTATTAACCAGCCATATTGGCCAATACCAATCCAACAGCTGATTTACAGGAATGCAGCTGTGGGA